CTCGATTTATTCCCTTTCTCTTCTATCCAGTCTCACTCATCTTCGGCATTGATGAGGAGACCCCTGATCCCCGAACCAGGCATCAAGTGGACGAGTGGAAGAAGGTTTTGAACATCCGCTTGGACCAACTTATGTTTGACCTTCGTGTCGCAGGTGTCGAAGCCAAAACAGGTCGCACATACACATCTAGATGTGTATAAGAGACAGGTACACCACGATGTCTCTCTTCTGGTATTGTTTGAAATTATCGGTGCTTACTCGATTTATTCCCTTTCTCTTCTATCCAGTCTCACTCATCTTCGACATTGATGAGGAGACCCCTGATCCCCAAACCAGGCATCAAGTGGACGAGCGGAAGAAGGCCTGTCTCTTATACACATCTAGATGTGTATAAGAGACAGGAGAGAGAGAGAGAGAGAGAGAGAGAGAGAGAGAGAGAGAGAGAGTCAGTCCGGCGGTGGGCGCTGCTGTCGGAGACTCGTCGAGGGCCTCCACACATTGCAGTCCGTCAAGGAAATGGAGCGCCTCTTTTCGACGGACGTCTCCTTCGGCAACTCATGCCCAGGTAATCGCCGGCGTGTGGGCCTTTTTTTTTTTTGTTTTTTTGTCTTTCCCGTTGGAGACCAAGGGCCTCACTGCACTACTCTCGACTGCACAAAAGACAAAAATATTGGCGGTGTACCTTTCCATATTCTAGAGGAAGATTCACTCTCGTTTTGCACATTTCGAGAGCAGTGCAGCGAGGCCCCAAATGCCACAGTGACTGCTGCTGCTGGCCCGGCGGCGCACTCACGCCGTGGAAACATTGGGCCTCGCTGCAGTACTCTCGAAATGTGCAAAACGAGAGTGAATCGTCCTCTAGAATAGGGAAAGATACAGCGCCAGGATTTTTGTTCGTTTTGCATGTCGAGAGTACTGCAGCGAGGCCCAACAATATCCAGCGGCCCGGCGGAGATTTTTTTTTTTCGTCATCGACTGTCTGGTAAGTCGGCCCCGCCAACTTCGCACCTGCCATTTTCTACCCCCCCGACTGTCACTGGAGTATTGAACCCCCCCCGTCTTTCACCTCAAGGGGTGTGTGCACACCGTCGGGAACCGTCCCACCCCGAAGAAAAACGGTCGCCGGCGTACCACTTTTTGCACCCCTAACTCACCGGGAAGTCGACTTTAGGCAATGAGGGGGAGTGGTGGTTTAAGCAGCATTGGCCCCGGGGGGGTACAAGTTATATTTCCAGCCAGACACATCCAAAATGAGGATGCGTTGTGTTCGGGGGAAGACGGTTTGGTTTGTCAGGTTAGCTTCGGATGGACTGGTGGTTGAAACTGGGAAATAGAAAGTTTTTTGAATGTCCAGGTCTCCAAAGTTTTTTGAATGTCCAGGTCTCCAGTGAGTCCAGTCATCCTCTCTACTCTGCATCATCATTGTCATTGTCATCATCATCTACTCCTGCTGCTGCTGCTGCACTCCATGTGCATCATTAACTTCATAATAGTTCCCTCCTGCAGCCTGTTCTCCTTCACATGTCACTGTCCTTTCGTTCACCTGCAGCACCTCTCTTGAGACAGCTAATTTGTCGTGGCCCTTCACAAGATGTCAATACAGTGTCCTCTATTGCTGCTGCTGTTTGACTAATGACCTCGTTTATTGCTATCGCTGCTACATTTCTCTTGCCTGCCATGTTTGGCAAGCCCTCGATCTATTCTCGTGTGTCTTATGCCCTCTTGTATGTTGCTCCTGGTGTTTGACTGACGACCACATTTTTAGAAAGCTCTGCTGCTATTGCTGCTTTGCCTTCATTGCCTTTTGTTTCCCAACCTGCACTCTGCTGTCAATCTTCTTCGTCAGCTCTCTCCCTTTTCTCCTACACTAAACGTGTGGTCTGCATTTTCAAGTGCAGCCACATCATTCATTTTGTCACCCACATCATCCATTCAAGTGCAGCCACATCATCCATTGCTGAGTTCTTAGTTTAATCCTGATCCTTGGAAGGGGAGTATGAATCGGTATCCTTAATCTGCCAGTGAATCACTATTGAAACGGTTTTCACCTTTGCAGAGGCAGATGCAGATCCCAGGGTTCGATCCCCAGACCTTACCTTGCCCATGTACAGTATCCAGTCGACCCCCGAGTGTTTGAACCCACAACCTGTGTAGTTGTAGGGGTTCGATCTGTAGGTCTGTCGAGTAGGGGACACAGCTCTGTAAAGGTCGAAGCTGTAGGTGTCCTGAGAGGTCAAGGTTGTAGCTGCTACAGTCCCGAA